AGCTACAAGAATATACAATAAAAAATGGGGGTATCCATTTAAAAACATCATTGTGACCTTGACCTGATCTTTATGACGCAACTCAAGGTCAAACTGCTAATATCATAAAATAGATCTTTTTAAACCCTACGACTTTTGTATTTAACATTTTTTTATACAACGCTTTGTTTTCGAGATATTCAGGTGTTCCGGTATATAATATTCACCCTGTATATATTAATTTAACAGAAAAGAAACGGATTTAATAAAAGAACGCCAGCGCATTCGAAAATTAATATCATATGATATTATATTTATATGATTTGTTTTTTGTAGTAGAACTGGTTGTACTAGATTGCACTATAATTCCCTTTCTCTTTTACATTAAACTATAGTTATATATCTACTCAGATAGCACAAAGGATTTAGAAAGAATTTAGTCGAATGTCATCAATTTAGAGTTCCTTTTTAGATGCAAAAAGAATTCTTTTTACTGAACTAAATTCTGAATTCTTTTTGCATCTGAGAATGAACTCAGAATTGGTGACATACAACTGAATTTTTTTTAATTCTCTGTACTATCTGAGTATTTCTTTATAAGTTCTAAAAGTATATATTAGTTCAGCTACAAGACAGATTTCACTATGTGTTATTTGATTTTTATGCCCCTTATCTCAGAATATCTTAAGCATATTACTTAAATACATAATCGGGTTTCCGGTCGTCCTAAAAAGTTGTGAAATATTTGTATGCTTATGTCTATCTTATGAAATAACATACTGATTTGAAGAAAAATTTTGTATTTAAATTTATATCTTTTCATATGGATATATATATACATAGTATCCATATCCATACTTTAGGTTTACAAGGGTCAGAATTCGGAAATAGGCGAATTGTCGGCTTTCGGTAAAGTAGTCAATGGCGCGGATGGCAATAGCTCGGAATTTACAAAGATTTCGTCGAAAATAGATGCCACACACTTGTACATTTGTGGTCTTATCTATGACGTAAAGGAAACATGTTTGGATGGCTTTCAGTTGAGTTATCGGTCAGTCATTGTTAATGATTTTTGTTGTGCTACAAGTCCGAATAATATAGAAATCATTAAAAAAAAATTTCGAAAGCGGTGGCCTAGTGGCGTCCAATGAACATACGTTCTGTCCTTAGTGAATAAAAATAAATGTAGTCTGGCGCTAGCATGTCACGCTGCGAAATACGTCTTGTAAAGAGAGTCTTATAGGATTGCAGATATATTCGAGAGATAATCTTTAACTAACCAATGCTAACTATGCTTTTAACAAACCACACGCAAACATTCATGATTGTTTAAACGGATGGGCGTTGGAATGGGTGATAATAACGTTCATTATTACGTAACATTGAAATGAAACGTAATTATTTATACAGTATATATATTTACGTGTACATGTTTCGACGTGCTTAAATAATCTTTCTATTTCCAATCGTCATTAAACGCAGCTAATTGTTTTTGTCGATTAACAATCGTGCTGTCCTTTCAATCTTGTTTGCTGATTCATCATCGGTTGCCAATTCGCAAATGTATCTTTGCCTCAAGCCGCAATCCTCGCCTCTGTAGGAGTAGATCTTCGACGATTCGTTATAGGATAATTTCAAACACCTGAAATTTGAAATGAAAATTATAATAATAATAATAATTATAATTATAATAATTATATATACATATGTACACACACACACACACACACACACACACACACACACACACACACACACACACACACACACACACATATATATATATAAATATATAACTAACAGAAAAGAAACGGATCTCATAAAAGAGCGCGGGCCACTCGAGAATTAACAATTAATATTATTTGATCTGTTTTTTAGAGCTGAACTGGCTGTACTAGTTTGCATTAATTCTCTTTCTCTCTTTTTTATATCAAACCACAGCTATATATCTATTTTTTAAGTTCTGAAAGTATACTAGTTCAGCTATAAAGAATAGACTTCATTATGTGTTATTTAGTCTTCACCTCATCCCGCTTATTCAAAGTATATAACCCAAATATATAACCGGTTTTCCGGTCGCTCTAAAAAGTCGTGATAAATGTTCGTATGCTCATTATCTTATGAAATAACACGACTGATTTGAAGAAAAATTTTATATTTCATATTTAAATTCATTTTCTATCTTCACATGGCACAATAATATAATATCCAAAGATGACTTCAATATAATAAGTAATACGAACCTGCCATTGCCAGTTATTGACTGTTTTGTGTCTTCACGAACTGGTCGACCACTGTTCCAAATCCACAAAAGTCCCGGATTTAACCCCCCTGTCCAGAAATTCTTTCCCTTCAGTTTAGAGTTCGACATTATGCCGGCGATTACATCTTGGGTCTCTTCGATCGTGTCGAACTCGACCAAATGCCCACCCATTCCATGGCAAAAGCTGCGCGATGATTTCCAATTGAAATCACGGTTACTGAAGTGGTAGCAGTTTTGACCCATTCTCGTGTAATTGGCGGGACAAGGTTCTGGAAGAGTAATAATAAGCAATTATGATATAAATGAGACGTGTTACACTTTTTCTTTGTAATTGATAAATTAAAGGATCACATATTTGTCGTTTAATATTCCCTATAAATCTTTTCCTATTTATTAAAATTTAGATAACTTACCTTTTATTTGGTTATTGCCAGAGATAATGTACAATAATATTTCTTCCGCTCTTCTTAATCGTTTCTCCATATTATCTATTCTGTCTAATAGTTTTTCGATAGCACCTATAAATTCCCATTGAATATTTTTAGATTCTTTTCTTTCGATATTCATGTTGTTACTAATTACTTATAAGTCATTGACTATTGAAATAAATCCATATCCGTAAATTTTTAACGAGATTTTAAACCATACCAAGCATATACAGGTGAGTTTCGGAAATTTCGTTTCTATTCCCAGTAGAAATCTTATTCGATACTGTTATTGTTTTATCACCGATTATCATCACGCGTGGCGTACGAGAATGTTCGGTTTGGGTAGTAACCCAATTTTCAAGAATTTCTGACCAAGGACCATAATTTATTGCGACAGTTGATGTGTCCGGTTGAGATGGCATACCTAATAAACAATAAAGAAATAAATTAATACAGATAAAATCACATATTTTTTTTCCTGATTTTGATAACTAAAACCTTGCTTAAATACAACTTTAATCTTGTTTCTTTATCTCTTAAATATTAATTATTGTTACAATAACATACACACATTAATTGTTATTTATCAAGTGGTTAGTTATAAATATTTGTATGCAATATGTAAATACTTATATACTTACTGAATGTCATAGTGGTAATTGATATCAATGTAATAAGAAAAGATAATTGTAATTTAATTTGTTTCATTTTTATTGTAGCTTTGTGATCTGAAAATAAATAACAAAGATAAGAATTTTGGTGGAGTATAAGAACTGAAAGAGAGGCATGTCGTTCTCTATCTGATCTGATATGTGTTCCTAGTATCTCTGACTTTCTCCAGGAAAATTTACAACGGTATGTTGAAACTTCAAGTATCCGGATGTAAATGAGTGTGCCGGAAAATCCCGACGTACACTTATTAACATATTACATGATTGGACATTGAATGATTTGCGTTACAATCGATTCACATATTCCATTCTGATTAAATTTAATTTCAGTAATTACAAATTTTCTTAAATATCCAAAAAGTACAAAATTTGAAAAACTGAGGAAGTTCAATTTTTTACCACAAACATACACGTATATTTTTTAAAGAAGCAATTGGAATGGAATGGAATGGAAAATATAGAGATCATTACTTACACGTGCACTGTGTACAACTTCTCCCTTTGTTTTGCGAGTATTCCACACCCAACCGAATGTCACGGCCGACTGAGAAGAAAAGATTCGAGTACGATGTCGAGTCGTAGGCCTCTCTGGGTCACTTTCTCCCCTCCTCATGCGACAAGTCACTTTCTTCAGCGAGCCCACCTCGGATGAGATTCAATCGTTACCGGTCGTGATGGTAGTTGTATTTGGTAGGTGTTACATAGCGTTAAAGTAGTCGGTGCATTTTATATAAGTAAATATCATGAAACATGCTGGCAAAACAATTTGATTATATGTATCTGCGTATGATAAGTAGATAACAGATACAGTAGTAATAAGTATTAAAATTAGTTTTGATATTCACATATATGTTGTTTTTCTTCTTTTGATATCATATCTCTCTAGCAACTTAAAAACTATATATTTTTTATGTGTTAAGAGATTTATCATTAATCCTCGATTATTATTGTTTCAAAATCACCGTTCCATTCTGTACGCAAAGCAACGTTTAATTCATGCGAGAAATTGAAACATAAATAATACTAGAGATGAGACTCTTGAAAAACGAATTCCAAGTTCCGTTCGAATAGAACGTACTCACTCGTTTACTCGTTGTGGGAAATACTCATGAAGATCGACCTACTGGCACAGTTTTCTCGGTGTACTCGAGTAACTGGTTTTAACAAAAGGCATCCAACAAAGTGTGAACGCGACAACTTCATCGACTAGCATAATAGAGACGATTATACGACCAACTACTACTATCTGATATAATCACAATTTACATAAGTTACAATACTTAGACTTGAAACATTCATCTTTCTTATGGCATTTACACTGTTTGAGATAAAATGTTTTAAAAGAGTAGATACAATAGACGTAAGAGTAGTATCTCATATGTTCAAATTTAATGTTTCTCGTTAATTTGATCAAAGTAGTAAAAAAATATGCGTTAACTACATACATAAGAAAAAAATGAGATTCTCAATGCATATTAACAAACTAATTGAAAAAATACTCTAATGTGTTTCAAAATCTTCCAGATTTCCTTTTCTTTGTACTTTTTTTTTTTATATAAAATTCTTTCAAAATCATGTTCTCTATGTAGCATTTTCATTGTTCCATTTTCAATAAAAAAATAACTACTTCCTACAATCAGAGATCGATGTCGCGGCCGACAGATCGCGAACATAATCTATTCGAGATAATGCAAGTTAACGCTATGCTGCGCAGGGTAACACAGGATAGCACAGATGTGCCGTGGACCGAATACGTGCATAAGGTCGCATTGTTTTGCAAATGCACCGAAGTTCATTCACAGAATTTCGACATCAACGAGACTTTATTTAACTAGACTAATCAAATAACGCTTACGACAATCCTTCGCCATTCACAATTGAAACATATCTCTCGTATTAACAGTAATTAATCGTTAAAAGTACACGGTGAGATTGAGCCTCTCGTTGCCAGCTTGACTGCTTCCGGCTCGCGTTTCCGCCGCAACTTCAACACTGTCCACGGTCTAAAAAATAATAGAATCCTTTGTTCTCTCTTGCTGCGTTTATCTGTTGTCTATTTCGTCTTGAAATTACTCCTTTTATGTTTGTTTTGAAACAAAATGACTACAGATCTATTTTTAGCAAGATAATTACCCTGTCATCGTCATCCCAGGATAATTTTTTGATTCTTGGTAAAACCGAATTAGAAGGCCACGCTGGCACTAGAGAATCCGGGGGATCTCCGGAATAATTGGAAGAGTCATGAGATCCCGCATCCAGATTCGTCCTAGCGCTCAAGTCGTTCATATTTTGCACTAGTCCACCGATGTTAGGAATGTTCGAAGTTGCTGATAAAGTTGGCGGATTCGGGGCGGGTGCCACTTTGTGTCTGGCATACAATGGTAATTGCCTTGCCGATGCTATACCTGTGACATGAGAAAGAAACAAGGGCATTTCAACGTCCTGGTTCTCTTGACCATCACAGATGTGATTTTAAAAAAGACACGTAGCCTTAAAATCGTTTTATGGAGAAAGAAATATAACTGTAATATATATATTTTGTAAGAAGCAATTAGTTGTTTTAACAATTGAATACGTTAGTATTTAATATAATTTTGAAAGACATATATAATTGTTTTTTAAAGAAATTTATAATTATAAGAAAAATTCATATAAAGAGAGTAAAGATAAAATATATCAATAATCATAGAAACTATAAAAGATTCATTAGTGTGCCTAGACTTATACTTGTAATAACATACTTTTAATTGTAGCGCCATATGAGCTTTCGTTGCTTTCTCCGAAGACAGGATTATCTATATCGTTGCGGTTCTCGGTGTTATCATCCTCGTTTCCGTCGCTCTCGTGACGACGATTACGTGGGCCTTCCAGGACATCTTGGAGAACGTTGGCACCTAGTACCTGTGGCGTCGGGCTTAGAGCTGAAGGAACTGGTGATTTCTCGCGATATCCGGTACCCACAGAGCTGACTGAACCACCGCTTTTGGGTCTTTTACTTGAAGGTAAAAAAAGTCAACGATAAGCCATAAAATGTAATCTTAGATCTTTCGATTTGTTAGAAACGTTTCAATATTTACGAGTAGTAAATATTGTTATGGTTCGTAATAAATAATTATTATTATTAGTTATTTAAAGATATTTACTCACTGTTTGTAAATGTAAAGGATGAGGATCAGTATGACAACTCCAAGGAGACCCAAAACCGCAGCGAAGATGGCGACCAACAGCACGCTGCTTCCGAGCCAAGCGGGCGCAGCTCTCGCTGCGATCGGCAACGATCCGCCGTCCGGTATGTGAACGATTACCGGAATCATACTGGATCTGAAGAAATTGTGCGCGAAGACAAATTACTACTTGGACGGATTATCGGGCATGCAAACAAGGGAAAACAGAGACAGAACCTGGGTGGCTTTCCAGTGTCAGATGCTACTGCTACCAATCGAGCCAAAGATCCGTTGAAAGGACCCGGCGAACTTAGCACCAATTCCCCGTTATCCTTTATCTCGAAAGATCTAAAAAATCATATTTTTATTAAAATTAAATCTATGTCATTCTGGTTAATCTTTGTTACATTGGATGTATAATTCATACCTTGCATCCGGTCCTCTGAGGGATAAGCTGACTTTGTCGCCTCTGTCGCCATCGGCCGCTTCCAGTTTCCCTGCGAAAGTCGCATGTTCTTTGTCAATATCGAGTGCCAGAGAGTCAGATTGATATTTAATTCAAGATTATGTTTACCAACGATAGAGCCTTCTCTCACGGAACGAGCATGGAATTCATATCGAGGATGTCGGAATCGAGGTTCCCACTCATTCACGTCTTCGACCGAAATGTTTACACGTGACGTGTCATTCTGAAATTAAAAGCATTTACATATTTATATATTTTAAAGTTATATACTGGGTTGGCAAAAAGTCCGGAAACGGCCAAATATCTCGAAAAGGATCAACTGTAACGAAAAATATATAAGTAACAAAGTTGTAGGGCTTAATAAAATGTACCTAATGATGGCTAAAAATTTGACTTTGGGTGGAGGACAAAGGTCATACGAAGGTCAAATTGAATTTTTTAAATTGGACCCCCCACTTTTTATTACATATTCTTGTAGCTTATTTCAAGGGCTTTCCAAAAACCTATAATAAAGTATTTTTTTTATTAGACATATTTAGAGTTATGAGGCTTGAAAGGATTTTGGTCTTTAACTGTTTCTGTTTCGTAAAAACGTATCACTGTCTTCTGAACGGTGGATTTAGAAATAAGATTGCGATCAGAATATGTAGCATTGAATAGATCAGCTACTTCTTGATATGATCTAATGCGGTTTCCAAATCCTCGATAAATAAGCAGCATTATTCTTTCTTTTTCGGTCAACATTTTCGAAAAAGAAAGAGAAAAGACAGAGTGAGATACGAGAAAGCGCAACTCGTTTTTTTAAATACAAAGATCAAGAAGCGTTATCGTGAAGTGCGGGCATGCGCGAGTTTCGACAGTACGTGTGATATTACGTTGTGAATGTATAACCGCGTTCGATGAGAGCGAATGAACAACTAAGCCGGTCATATCGTCTAGCTCGAGATACGAAAAACAAAGTTATTCTTGTTTTTCTCCTGTGTTTATGTTTTTTAAGCTCCAAGCCTAGTTGTTCATTCGCTCGCATCGAACGCGGTTATTCATTCAGATGTTATTATTCATTTTGACCTTCGTCCTCCACCCAAAGTCAAATTTTTAGCCATCATTAGGTATATTTTATTAAGCCCTACAACTTTGCAACTTACATATTTTTCGCTACAGTTGATCCTTTTCGAGATATTTCACCGTTTCCGGACTTTTTGCCAACCCTGTATATTTTAAGTTATACTCGTATTTTATACAAATTTATAAATTTTCGATGTTTTTTGTTTCAAATGCAATCAGTTAAAAATATACGCACGTGATATCCGTCGGTGACGTGAACCAAAAAGCTATGCTGGATGCGTCGCTCGTAATCCAGTTTACCTTTAAGAATTAACTCGCCGGAATTGGTGATGGAGAATCGCTCGAGATCCTCCACTGCGCCCATCAGCCAAAATCTCAAGCCCTAGGATCAAAGGCTGTACTACGTTGCTAGATCGTAATTAATTTGCGTCACAACAGTATTTTTACTACTTACAGGATCGATATTGTTGACTTTTGTCGTTAGAAGAACACTCCCAGATGGCGTGTCTTCTGGCACGCTCGTTTGATGATCCTTCAGCATAAATTTCACAGGTAACCGACCACCTAGGATCAATAAAGGTATGAATTTTATTTTAACTTTATATCTGACATAAGATCTTTTTCCAAGTTAACGATACTTTAATCTAGTTAATCATTTTGACTCATTCTTACACATGATGTATGTTTAATTTAAATATTGGTACTGATGAGATAAAAACAATTAATATCTGAATTAAATGATATATGAAAGTTATTTACCAGCCGTTGAGCCGACTCCGTCTTCTCGCGATACAACGACTGTAGCGAGAGCATACCTATCAGGATTGTCCACTTGGGTAGCCTATTTAATAAGCAATAACACAGGCTTTATATTTTGTATGTCTACCAAGGAAATTTAGACAAATTTTTAGAGTAATTAACGAATATTTTTTTCTATATTACCTTGATCACAATAGTTGCTGGCGATATTAGCTCGTGATCGTGCAACGATCGTATCATAGCAATTTCGGCAGTCTTGAAATCTAAGTTCAAGAAAGGAAGAATCCCACCTTGAATAGTGTATCGGACCGGCGCATTTATGCCGACATCCTGATCCACGGCCTTTATCGCGGTAGGAAGTATTCTCAGTGATTTTTCCTGTATATTAATCAATTTAATTAGTTCTATGAAAATTTTGTAACGCTCTTGCGTTACGTGCGGGATAGACTTAGTCGGTGTGGTCCAAGGTTTAGCTCAATAAATTAGAAGCAGTGGCGTAAGTAATAAGAAGTGTAAAATATATTCTTAAGTAAACGCTATTTACAATTATTTACAGATAGCGCGACGCCGTTGATGCGTGGTCGCGGTTTTGCTCACGTCGTAAGTCTTAGTTGTCGTCGCGATGACAGCTGCGAGCGTCCAGACTCGCCCGCGGGTCGCGGGACGCGGTCGGCGTTGTCTCGCGATCTTCTATTGCCCGCGTTGTGAGTTTGTATGCGGTGATACGTTTAACGTTGATTACGTGTTCTCGAGAGCGCTCCAATATGTTGGCGATTTCGGGCGCGTGGTCGGTGTTTTCGCGGTGGAAATAAGCGGTGCTAGCTAGAGGATGTCGACGTCGCGTATCCAACTCGGTCGACGGAGTGTCTAGGAAGCGGTGAGGTGAAAGGTTTACTGCGAGGTCTGGTCAGTTTGAGCGTCTCAGAGGAGTTCTCCGGCAGGTCTCTCTCGATCTCG